GAAGCAAGGTATATTCTGTGTTTTGGGTTAGTTTAGCAACATAGTCCCTATAGGTTTCCAGCACTTCACAGAATAGGAATAAATAAATAATAGCAAAAACTGATGCATTAATATAAATACCTAGTTTCTAGGATGACATCTATAATGGTAATTCCCACAATGAAAACCAGTCAACAAACAAACAAGGAATGGTGGAGTCAGCAAATGTCAACAGCAAAAACAATAAATAACCATGAACTAAATAAATCTGGCATTAAAGCAAACAGCAGGTGTCAACTGTATGTCATCCAAAGTAGTAATAATTGCAACAACATGATGGAGAAAGGAGTTATATAAAGCAATTAGTTCTAAAAGATGGTAGAAACAGTTCAGCAAGGGAAACAATGTGATAGGAAGCTAGAAGAGGGTTTACAGTGTCTAAAAAGTGAACAGAGAAATGTTCCTGATACTTCCAAGAGAAACCACATATGGTCAGCTGTTGAGAGCCACAGCCAAAGGGGCCCCAGCAAACTTCCAGCTGCCAGCAAACTTCCAGCTGCCAGCTGATGATTGGCTCACAGCGGCCCCAGCAACATCTAGCTGATTGGCTCCTCTGCGATGATGCTCATTGGGCTATTTCCCTGCCCTTTCAGACCACGGAGCTGCTCATTGGGGGACTTCTTTGGCTCCGCCCATATGACCCAGCCAATCGGCCTCAAGGGAGGAAGATTGTGGGAGTGGGAGAGGCTTGTGGGAAGCTGGTGGTGGCAGTTGGGCTCTGAGGGTTTTTCCTGAGGAACTGTTTTGTTTGGCGTGTGTGGTTCTAAAAATAAAGTTCGTTTCTTTTGACAAGTGGCTCCTGAATTGTATCCAGCCAGACCGCGGCAGTCAGCAAGACCCTGACATGTCCTGGCAGATGGCACTACTAGTAGAGGAAAGCTTGTGCGGGAGTGCTTAATAATAATGATATCAAAGGATTTTAGAGTTGTAAATTTTTCCTGAGTTAATTTGAGCCTGACCTCATAGACCTACAAATCTTCCTAATCTCCTACACTGATAAATTTGATCTGCTTTTCACTGATAATTATGAGTTACTGGCTTCATGTTTTTCAGAGACTGGCTGAAATTTTAATTTCTTTTGTGCTAATTGTTTACAAGATATAATGCTTTTGTTTTATTTATTGTTCTTAGCATGATCCCTGTCCTATGTATGAGTTGTCCATTCACCTGCCAGATGCCACTGTGGACTTCTGGACTGCCCTAATGCTGAATATCCTTAATTGTTTAAGCCCTACCTAATAGAGAACAAGAATTTTGGTTTACTTCCCCCAACTTTGCCCTCTTTCAGCAGGAAGCAGCTTGGAGATGTCATTACCCATTTTCCTATAGAAATGGGATGTGGAAATTGACAGTGGGGTAATGTAACAGTGGTCCACTTTATGCTTTGAATATAGCCCTTGCTTCTCTGTACTGTAACTTATTTTTAAAATGGACATGTTTCTTTATCTTTTTCTCTCTCTACTCCTCCCCTAATCTTTTACCCTCCCTAATATCAAGGGAAAAGAGATTACTTTTCTTCCCCATAGTAGGAAGTTATCTGCTTCTAAGTGCACCCCCACCATAGGAATAAAGTAATCCAGACTTTGGGGGTGGTACCAGAAGATCTCAGAAATTTTATCTCCCAAATTAACAAGTGAATTACAACTCCAACAGGGAACATGTGGAATGTAATCTTTGAATCACCTCTTTGAAAGCCTCCTGATGGGCAACTTCTAAGATAGGAGTCCCCTGTGTTTCTCCTTTGCTAGCAAAATAATGAATCTTTTTCCTTTTTCTCATTAAAAGAAAAGAAAAGAAAAGAATGGATAGTCACTGCCTATGCCCATCTGTTCTTTCCATTTTTTCTTGAGGTATATACTAAGAGAGAGAAAGAGCAAGGGCTGGGGGTTGTTAACCCCTTTCTCTTTTTTGTGTTGCTCACCAAACTGCCAGTTGGAGTATCTAAAACTGAAGCTGGTTGAAATAGTTCTCAGCTTGCCTTCTGACCAGTATAAGGTAGGATGTCAAATGGAGTTTTTCCTGGATACACCAGATCAAATGTATTTCCAGGGTGAGGCTGCTGCAGAGTTACCAAAAGGAAGTTTTGGTGGCTAAGGCTTGGATCTAATCAGGCCGTGGGGCTTTTTTTGGGTGGTATCTGCTCTGGAGAGATTAAATTAATACACACCTAGGGCTCAGCAGATGCCAATCTCTTCTGGGAGTCTGAATCCTAGAACCTTTCCACAAATTTTGCTTGTGGGGCAGGGGCAACAAATTTCACCCTTTCTTCTACCCACAAACATACATAGGCTTTCAAGACTTAGTCCCTGAACATATTCACACCTACATATTCAGATTTCCTACCCTATTCAGTTGGTCACAGGAGCCTCTAGACGCAGGGAAAAGCAAGTTGGACTTTCCTTCATTTTTCTTACTTTGAATCCCCCTGGGTACCTTTTCTGTGTTTTTGTTTCATTCATATCCTGGCAGGTAAACCCTAAGCCACATGGTAGGCACTTAAGTGCTGGGAGAGTATGGCAATGTTTGCCATGAACTCCTGGGCTCCGTAGCAGCAAGCTACAGCATGAACTCCTCAAATGCTTCTTGCCTCAATTCTCCACTTGCCAGTTGAACACTTTTCAAACACCAGTTTATGTTGCAGCCTCTGAATCAGCTAAGTTACATGTTTTCTGTGTCAAATCTCTCCATTGTGTTTCTCTCCCATCCCTATGTGGTAGACTAGAACTATTGCCACTGCCACTGGTGTAGCTGGCTTGGCTTCAATGTACTCTTTCTTTGATAGATTCAAATCTCTGAGTCTCTTAGACACTCTGACTGTCCAGATATTGAATTTTAGTGAAATCCCTCTTTTACCTACCACACTGACAAGCAGTTTTCCCTCTTTTGAATCCCAAGTAAGGGAGCGACAGAATGCAGCGTTCCTCTAACTCACCATCCTAAATCCCCTCATCAGCTCTTACATGAATTCTTTGTACTCAACTACTATTTAAATGAACAAACCCCTCCCAATATCAACTGCTTTTCTCAAATTGGCTCTCTGTGTTCTCCAGTGACCTCCTATTGGCTATTTTGGGGGTCTGTTGTTCTCAGGGCTATCATATTACTCTTTTTACACTAACTGCTTTCTCCCACATATACGTTGATGCCATGAAGGTCTTATGTGTGTATATACTTTCCTGCATGGTTTCTTATAAATGTTGTCCATAGGCTTTTGGGTTTGCTACCTCAATATTCTTTATAATTTTATGTGGGGAGTTAAGATGATTCAAAAATCATGCTGCCTTTGCTGCCACTACCTTCCCAGAAGTTCCCTCTCATATCTGTTTCACTGTTTTCACATTTAAAATTATTTATATTTAATTTATAGTATCTCTCAGGTAATTTATTTACACAATCGTTTCATCTACAAATAACAGCAGTTTCGTTTCTTTATCCCCAAACCTTATCCTCTTTGTTTTCTTGACATATTACATTAGCTATAAGCACCAATCAGGTTGTGATAAAAGTGGTAACAGTGGAGCTCTTTTTTTTCCTTCATGATCTTTAAAAGTAATACTTCTAATATTTAACATTGAAGAACATTATTTATATAGGTTCTTTTGTGTATATGTGTGTGTGCATGTGTGCGTGCATATGTGCATGTGAGCTGCAGCCAGTTAACTATATTGTTGAATATTGTTCCTAGTGATCTAAGAATTTTTTAAAAAAATCATGAGTGGATGTTGAATTTTGTCTAATGATTTTTTTCTCTTTCAGTCAGTTAAATGACATTTAAATTATATTTTCTAATGTTAATGTCAAAATACCCTTGTATTCTTGGGATGAATTGACTTGTTCATTGTATATTATTTTGTTTCTACAATACTGGATTTTTCATACTGAAACTATATTTTATTCATTTATGTTTATGAATGATATTAGCCTAAAATGTCTTTGTCAGATTTTATTGTCAAGGCCATAGTGTCCTCATGAAATGAATTGGAAAACATTCTCTTTTCCATTTAATTTTTAATGACTGCATCCTTAGATTACTCAAGCCTTTTGAAATTTCTTGGATTAAAGGCTAAATTCCTTTTATTAAAAACTGTTTTTCTATTTTTGTTTATTTTTTGCAGTGGTGGGGATTGAACCCAGGGCCTTCCACATGCTAGGCAAGTGCTTTACTACTGAGCTAAACCCTAACCCCTTAAACCTGTTTTAATGAAACTATCATATTATACATTGATTAATTTATAAAATATGTATGTAGAGTGCTATGAACTGAATTTTTTGGCTTGCTCATCCTAATTCATATGTTAAAAACCTAATCCTCAATATTATGGTATTTGGAGGTGGAACCTCTGAGAGATAATTAGGAATAGTTTAGGTTTGATGGTGAGGCCCTATAGATGGGACTAATTCCCTTGTTAAAAGAAGAAACATGAGATCCATCTCTCTCCACTCTGAGGATACAAGAAGATGGACATCTGAAACCAGAAAGAGTACCTTACCAGATACTGGATTTGCTGGCACCTTGATATTGGACTTCTCAGCCTATAGAACTGTGAGAAATAGGTGTCTGTTGTTTCTGTTGTTTAAGTTACCCAATCTGTAGCATTTTGTTCAAGCAACCCAACCTGACTAGGGTGTGTGGTTAAAAACACTTAGAATGATATGTATTGAATAATTTCTGAAACATGTTTATATTACCTAGATATTTATGTGTCAGATTAAGATATACAATACCACCAATATCAGAAATGTGTTTTATATGCCCTTATGATAATCTTCCTAACCATCTTCAGGTAACTACTTCACTCATTTTTGTTGGAAGCATTCCATTCTTTTGACTGTATCCCTAGACAATGTAGTATGTGTGTCTCTTTTAGAACTTTTTAAAAGTGTATCATACTATGTGAATCATAACATACATATTCTTTTGTTACTGACTTATTTCATCTATGACTGATTACTTTTTTTAGGCTGGAAAAAATGAAAAAAGAATATAGAAATCTGGGTACATGGAAAGAAAAAGTTGACTATTTAGAAAACATTCTGAACCCAAAATTGGAACCTAAAGAATCTTCGGTAATTGGCATAATACATTCTTCCACCTGGAGCTTTGAATACTTTTTTAAAAGAAATATTATTGTCATTAATAGTGATGATCATATGTCGCTTATTTTTGGAGAGCATGTAAAATGTTATTCTTGGCCCACACACTTTCCTATTTTGGTAATGTTACATTCACTAAGTATTTAATGATAAATTATTAGGTTTAACAATATTGATCCATTTAAAATGTACAGTTTAATGGCCTTTATTGTGTCCACCATCACAATCAACTTGAGAATATTTTACTCTCAAAAGCACACCCATACCCTTTAGCCAGCACTCCTTCAATCCACCCATTGTCCTCTAGCCCTATGCAACAATAGCCAACTTTCTTCTCTATAGATTTACCTGTCCTACACATTTCATATAAATGGAATCATAACAATATATTGTCCTTCGTGATTTTCCTTTTCAGTTGCCATAATGTTTTCAAAGTTTATTCTTGTTGTAATATGTATAAGTATTCCATTTCTTTTTATTTCCAAATGACATTCCATTGAATGGATATGCCATCTTTTGGTTTATTCATAATCATAAGCTGATGGACATTTGCATTGTTTTCACTGTTAAGCTAGTTTGAATAATAATGCTTTTGGACATTCATGTGCAAGTTTTTTGTGTGAATGTATGTCTTTATTCTCTTGAGTACCTAGGAGTAGAAGCTGCATCATATTGTAATTCTCAGTTTAAATTTTTGAAAAAGTATCAAATTGTTTTCCACAGTAGTTTTGTATTACCTTATATTACAATCAGTAGAGAGTTCCAAGTCTTCACTAACTCTTATTATTTTCCATTTTATTACTATTATTACTATAGCCATCTTTGTGGGTTTGACATGGTGATTTATTGTGCTTTTGATTTGCATTTCTCTATAGATTAATGTTGTGAGCATCTTTTCATATGTTTACTGGCCATTTCTTTCTCTTCAGATCATTGCCAATTTTTAAGTTAAATGTCTTTTTAATACTAGATCCTTGTCAGATAGGAGTAAAGGTTAATATTTAGAAATACAACCTCACCTATACTGATCTGGAAATAAAAAATTTATAGCTATCTCAGTGAAAAGATGAAACATTGACTGAGATCATAACCCTGAAAAAGTAATATTTTCATGTGTTTCAATTTCTCTATAATAGGCAGAGTTCATGTTGCTACAGGAACAATTAAGTATTTTTAATAACAGAAGTAATACTTTAGGGAAAATTTGGAGGGTTATTAATTAAAAGAACTATGGACTTTGGGTTGTTACTGAAAGATCAGTATTTTATAAAAATCCCATTGTCATTCTGTCTTTTAACTATTTTTAAACCCAGTTTTCCTTAGAATTTTATAAAAATATACATCCTTTTTCAAGTCATAAGCCATAATGGATTACAATAAAAATAATAATCTGTTACCTACGGGTACCCTTTCTTAGTCCTTGAAGTTACAATATTATATAATTTACCCTATGTGTATCATGTACATTCATTATTCAAATACTCTACCCATTATTGGATATCTTCTCTCTAGAATATCAACTCCTCTTTAAAATGGTAGTCTTTGGATTGAATTTCTTACAAATACTTCTCTGTCTTATCCTCTGTCCTTTGTAGATTTAGCAGGGGATGGGAGAGAATATTGCATTAAAAAGAAGTTATGAAAATAAGGAACTAAAACCTTTTCCTCCTTAAATATTTTCCCCAATATTTTTTCTTTCTTTCTGTGATTTTAGGAAAGTAATTTAGATGAAGACCTTGAAAGTGAGAGTAATGATTTAGATGAAGAGAAGCCTGAAAATATCACAACATTATGTAAGAAATGAACTTGATTTCTGTGTTTATTATGAAGATAATTAAAATCAAGGTGTTATATCACAAAAATTAGTAATTTGTTCTAAGTAAGTGTATGGTTTTGTGAGAAGTTGCCCAAAAGCTCATGTGTGAGACAATGCAAGAAAGTTTATTGGTGAAATCATTGGGTTATGAAAGGTTTGACCTAATCAGTATATTAATCCCCTGAGAGGAATTAACTGGGTGGAACTGTAGGAAGGTAGGGTATGTCTGGAGGGGGGTGGAGAGTCATTGGCCATGTACCTTTGGGGTTTATATTTTGTCTGTGGTGAGATGGGAGCTCTCTCCCTCTCTCCCTCTCTCCCTCTCCCCCTCTCCCTCTCTCCCTCTCCCTCTTCCCCACTCTCTACCTCTTCCCCCCCCTTTCTCTACCTCTCCCCCTCTCCTCCTCTTCTCCTCTACTGTTCTCTCCCTCTCCCTCCATCCTTCCTTCTCCTTCCTGGTGCTATGTCCTGAGCTACTTTGCTCTGCCATATTCTTCTGCCAAGATGTTCTGCCTCACTTCTGGCCCTGAGAAATGGAGTTGGCCATCTGTGGACTGAGACCTCTGAAACTATGAGCCCCAAATAAATTTTTCTGCCTTTGAAATTGTTCTTATCAGAACTTTTGGCCACAGTAGTGAAAAAAACTGACTAAAACAGAAATTGATACCAAGAATTGGGGTCATTTCTGTGGCTAACCTGACCACGTGGTTTAGAAGCTTTTAGAGTGTTTTGGAATTTGGGAGGAATTTTTTTGTTATTGTTGTATCAGAGATTGAATCCAGGGAATGCTTAACCACTGAGCTATATCCCTAGCCCCTTTGTTTATTTTATTTAGAGACAGGATCTCACTGAGTTGCTTAGTACCTTGATAAACTGGCTGAAGCTGGCCTTGAACTTGCAATCCTCCTGCCTTAACCTCCCAAGCCACTGGGATTATAGACTCATGCCACTTCATTCCACTATGGAAAGAATTTTGAAATATCTAGAGATGCAAGCTAGGAATGTTCTAGATTATTGTAGGTTGAGCTTAATGGGTGATTCTGGTGGGAGTTCAGAAGACCAGAATGTCAATACAACTATGGACAGTAAAGACTGGGCTTGTGAGATTTTATAGGAGAAGGAGGACTCTGTTGGAAATTGGACTAGAAGCCATTTATTCTAGCTAAGAAGTTGCCTGAATTTTTGCTCATATCATAGACTCCTACTCAGAGCAATTAGTCAAGAAAAATAAATAGCAGGATTTCAAATTGGAAAGAATGAAGGAAAATTTTCTTTGCCAATGTCATAATCTCATATGTAGAAAATCCTAAAGCCTCTAGAAGAAAAACCCCATTAGAACTAATTCATGGATTCAGTGAGGTTTTAGGATACGAAATCAGCATACAAAAATCTGAACACTAGCCATGAACTATCTGAAAAGGAAAATGGATTAAAGACTTAAACATAATTCCTGAAACTCTAAAACCCCTAGAAGAAAATAAAGAGGAAAAATTCAATGACATTGGTGTAGGCAGTAATTTCTTTAATAGACAAAAAGCACAAGGCAACAAAAGCAACAATGGAGAATGGGGCTACCTCCAGCCAAGAAACTTCTGTGCAATAAAAGAAATAACAGAGTGAATAGATAACCTACAGAAAGGGAAAAAATATTTGCAACTCATATATCTGATAAGGGATTCATATTTAAAATATATAAGGAATAACTTCAACTCAAGCAATAACAACAAACTAACTCAATTAAAAAATAGGCTAAGGACTTGAGTACATACTTCTTTGAAGAAGATATACAAATGATCAGGAGGTGTTTGAAAATATGCCCAACATCTTTAATCATTAGGGAAATGCAAATCAGAATCAAAATGAGATACTATCTCACAGTTGTATTAGTATAGCTGTTATCAAAAAGTCCAAAGATCACACATTTTTCAGGGGTGTAGAGAAAGTGGGACCCTTGTACACTATTGGTGGGAATATAAAATGGTGTAGGCACTTTTGGAAATAGCATATTTATTAAAAATAACAGGAAAATCTTATCCCTTCATGCATGTTTTGATCTCATCCCCATACTTGTTTGATTATTATTCCTCCATCTTCCCAGAGATTCATCACCCTATTTTAACTAAGCAGTGTTTATGTTAGGATAGGTGCTTTGACTTAAGTTGATGTTTGTTTGTAGTGAGAAAAAGTGTAATAATATTTATTGTGTACATAAATATAAATCTTTTTTTATTGTTTTGTGTAACAAAGTACTTCTATTTGCTTTTTTTTCAAATAGATATCCCTGTTAAAGACAATGAACCTGAAATTACTCCAAGTGAGGTAAGGGAAGTTGGAAGAAAATGTCTAATAGTCATTATTTTATGAAGGGGTGAAATGCTTGTTTTTTGTTTTGTTTTGCTTATACTAGGAATTGAATCTAGGGCACTTAACCACTGAGTCACATCCCCAACCTTTTTGTACATTTCATTTAGAGACAGGGTATCACTAAGTTGCTTAGGGCCTTGCTAAGTTGCTGAGGCTGGCTTGGAACTTGTGATCCTCTTGCCTCAGCCTCTAGAGGAACATGCCTGGGATAACAGGCATGTTCCACCACACCCAGCAGGGGTGAAATATTTGTGAATAGAGAAATAGTTACATATGTAAAGAAAAAAAGCACCTGAGAAATTATTCAGTTGTTTCATGGTTATTTCTATATGAGAACATTTATACCATTGTACAATTTTTTAAAGTTAAATTGCCCTCTGGAAATATTGGTTTCAGCATAAAACAGTAGCCCTTAAGAATATATATGAAGATAGGAAACAAAAAATGTTTTCAGGAAGAGAAGAAAGGAAGATAAGAACTAAGTATGAAATTCTACATAAGACCTTAGACATGGTTGCCATAGACCTACCCACATTCTGGGCTCTTTCTCACCAAATCTTTTAATTTGTCATATTATAAACTTTGTTCATGGAATAATATCATGTATTTTACAGTAAAAATCAGCAAAAAGAAATTCACTTAATATAATTTGCTCTTCAGCTAATTTTATAGCAGGCATCCATTCTATTATAACAGTAGATTCCATGTAAACAATAGGAAAAGTTTTTTTCTGCTGCTTGACAAGTAGCATTTAATGATTTCCATTTTTTGGTTAGAGGCTTATAAATACAAATTTGAAGAATCAGTGTGTACTGTCTTTCCCAGTTCAAGGAGAGAAGAAAAAAAGTGAATACATTGAATTTTTCATAAAGCTGAATTTATTTAACTAAACAGGCTATCCTTTATGACATGCTTCTTTGTAGTCCTTTGCTGCTAAAATTTCCTTTCTTTTATATAATATCTTGTTATTTTATAATATTGTTGTTTGTGTTATTATGCTATTAAAATTTCCCATGTTTCATAACATATTGGTGATAGTATAACACTAAAATGTCAGATCCCAGATTTTCTTTTTAAAGATTTTACTGATTATAAAATCCTGACCTAAGGGAACCATTATTTTATAAGCCACTGTTTTATCTAATTCTGATTCCAGAATTAGAGAATTTCTCATTCCTTTTGTTAATTAATGTAGTCATTACCATGTACTCATGGTAACATGATAAAGGATAAGGGTACAATTTATTTTAATTTGTTTTCAGTACTTTCTAGTGAATAACATTTAATTAGTAGCTTGTTTTATTGCTATATTTTCTAGTTGCTGGGTGATGATAATAAAAAAGGCGTACCTACATCAACTTCAAGCCTATTGGACCAAGATTATTCAATTCTTGCTACTCCTGAGAGTGTTATGTCAACACCTCTACCCTCAGACTCTCTACTGCCCTCTATTCCTAGGCAGGAAAAAACCCTACTGGACAAAATACCATTTTTCAGTGAAGGCCAATCAGAAGTCACGCCAGAGGAAAGGAGAAGTATACCATTTCTATCAGATGCAAAATCAGATGACACACATCGAAGCATTTTGAAAGCAATTTCAGCTCTATCAGAGGTAAAGTTGAGTAGTATCTGTATGGAGCCAGAGTCAATAAGGAGGAGGAATTTGGCTTCATCTTCAAGAAGAACTAGGTGGCAAAGCTGCTATCTAACCTTAGCTGAAAGGAAGAGCACAAGCTTAGTTTCCCCAGATTTGAAATTGAAAGGTAGCTTTCAAAGCCATGATTTAGAAGATCTTGAATTAGCCTATCTTCATATTTGAAGTACAGACTAGTGGGAAAATGATTTATTTTTTTAAAAATCAAAGACAAATAAATTGAAAATATATTCATATGTCTCTAAGTAGAAATATATCTAAGTGTATTAAATATTTCTACACCCAGTTTTTACTGATAAATGAGGAAAACTTTTGAAGAAAAAGCAAAGTGATCTGAGATACAAATTATACAAACTAATCTCCTAGGCGCGTGCAAAATTCTGCTGAAAGTGTAACTTTTTTAAAGTTCATTTTTAAAATTAACATCAGTAGCAAAATATAAATTCAAAGGAAATGTAAAAGCCTGGGAAGTTATTTCAGTAGAAAAATTAATGAAACTGTTGTATTTTATGTTACAGAAAATAGTATATGTTATCCTTGTTACATATAATGTTATACTTTTAAAAGAATGTAAATTTAAAGGTACACCAGAGTAAAGCCTTTCTCAAAATGATAGTATTTTGCTTAGATCTTTGCATTCCATTTGAATCACTATTACAGGTAGCTCTTTTTATTTTGGTACCAGGGATGAAACCAGGGATGCTCTACCACTGAGCTACATCCCCAGTCCCAGTGCTGTCCCACCTTTATTTTTTATTTTGAGACAGAGTCTTGTTAGGTTGCTCAAGTTGGCTTTTACCTTTGTGATACTCCTGTATCAACCTCCAGAGTAGCTGGAATTACAGGTGTGTACTATAGGTAGCTCTTTAAAAAACAGTATGAAAAGGTGTATGGATCAAGTAAGGGTTCTAAGTAAGGCTCTGCTTCTAAATATTTCAGCTAGCTTTGTCACCTAAATCTGTAGACCTATTTCCTCATCCTTTGATATATCAGACCAGATCATTTCTAAATTCCCTTCCAAATTTCAAAAGATACAATTTTATTAAATATCTCTAGCTAGGGAGTTATTCTTTTTACTAAACAAGAAAGTAATGCATGATCATATAAAATTTAGAAAGTTTATATTATATCTATTTATAGATCTATCTTTATCTTCATTATGCCTATATATACTTTAATTTTACAACTTGGATAAAACTATACGTATAATTTTATATTTTGCTTTTATGAGTTAACATTATAAGCACACCTGAATTTTCAAAAATTTGTAAGATGCAAAATATCCTCAAGTATGGTTATTCTATGATTTTTTTAAGACAGTTTCCATATTCTTGAACATTTTTTAAAGTTTGAAATTGGTATTCTTTTACTATTTATTTGAATATGTGATTATCTAATAATACAGAAAAGGTATGTTGACAAATTACTGTCCAGAAAGATTATACGACTTTACATATTCACCAGCAGTATTTGAGTATTAACAGTCTCTAAATAATGATTAAAACCTTTTCATGCTTAATAGTCATTTTCATTTTCTCTATAAGTAGAAGACCATGTCCTTTGTCTATTTTTTCCTCTTTTGAAGACATCTGGATTATATATTTCTAAATTATTTCTGTTTAAGAATAGTGACAACTTGCATAGTCAAGTACTTTTCCATAGTTTGTAGTTTGCCTTTGATTTTATTCAGTCTGACTTCCAAAATGTTCATTTTTCATTTCATAAATAATTTGTTGCTGCACAACAAACCACTCTAAAACTTAGTGACTTAAGACAGTTATTATCTCTCAAGATTTTGTGGGACTGACTATGCTTAGCTGGGCACTTTTGCTTCACATGATATTGGATATTTGTTGGACTTGTGGTCATTTAGGGGCTCGATTGGTGGCTCACTTACATGATTGACACTTTGATGGGAACAGCTATAAGGCTGGGCTGAGCTGGGCTGTTTGGACATCTAGTTTGATACTGCATATACTTTCTCAGGAATTGGCCCTCAACCTCTCCATGTGATCTCTTGTGGTCTATGTGGTCTTTTTAACAAGGCAGCTGAACTTACGTGGCAGCTGAGGCCTTCAAAATTACAGAAATAGAAGCTTCAGGACCTCTGAAAACTTTGGCTTCATACTAATTCAGGTTTATCTCCTCTGAATCTGTTAGTTATAGCAAGTGCCAGGCTTAGTTCAGTATGGAGGGGACCACAGAAGGGTATAAATCTTGGGAGGTATGGTTCATTGGGGACCATATTTGGAGATTAACTATAGATTTTTAATTACTTAGCAAGTAATTTCCATCCCACATGCAAAATATATTTATTTCCCTTCCCAGATCCTCAGTCTTCATGCTATTACTGCATTAAGCTTGGGCTTGAAATACAGAATTTCAGCATTTAAACCAAGTCTAGATGAGAGAGGCTTTTTGGTTGTGGTACCTCTCAGTTTTGAAATCTGTGAATTTATCAGTTTTCTGTCCCCTACATACAATAGTGAGTCCAGAACAGAAAAACTGGAATAGAAACGTAGGATTCCAAAGATGGAGGAGGGCCAACATGAAACATGTAGCTGTCAGTAGACCATAATAATTCTGAAGTTCTTGGCTTTCCCTCAGATTAATTCTTTTTCCATAAGGAAGAACTTCTGTTTGTAGTTGAATATCTTTTCAATTTGTGTTCTGCCTGAAAGTTGGGTGTTTGAGTGTCTCTTTTTACTTTCAATTGTTCCTATTCTTTTTTTGAGGGGGTGCCAAGTATTGAACCTCAGGGATACTCAACCCTTGAGCCACATCCCCAGTCCTGTTTTGTACTTTATTTCTAGACAGGGTCTCATTGAGTTCCTTAGTTAGTGCCTTACTTTTCCTGAGGCTGGCTTTGAACTTGTGATCCTCTTGCCTCAGCCTCCTGAGCTATTGGGATTATAGGTGGGTGCCATGGTGCCCAGCTGTTCCTATTCTTTTCAGTTCAAGATACTATGATTCTTTTTAAAGATTTTGTGGTCATTTTATGTAATAAATTCTGATCTTAATTAGGCAATTATCATACCCCTGTATATCTTTAAGCCTATATTTCCTTGAGCTGAGAATCAGAGTACTGTGACATAACATCCTTAAGAATTTTAGAAATGTTCCTGTCTAGCAGAGAGGGATTGAGATGCTACCTAAAATTCTGAGAATAAATTTTATCTTCCTCAGTGGGTCTATGAGGTACAACCTTACATCTTTTTGAGGTTTTAACAACAAATCTTATATCCATACCCCTGTGATCTTGGCCTTAACACCACACTTTACTGGTATTGCTGTAGATTTGATCTTCACCCTGAGGTCATTTCCTACTTTGATGGTCATTGACTAGGAGAGGTGTGTATGAGACACACTTTTATATTCCAGAAAAATTCTGGTTCATAAATATTTCTCCTGGATTCTGCTTGAAAAGGTCACTTCTTTTTATTTGTATTTTGTAATAGACATCTAAAAGAATCCATTTGTCACTTTCATCATGCTTCCTAGAAATTTCTGTAGCCAAATACTCAGTGCTTTTATTTCCCGTTAACACAGGGTTGCCACACTTTTCACAACTAGAAAAAGTTGGTTACCATTTTTGTCCCTAGTAAAAATTACCTACATGTCCTTCCAGCGTAAAAATTACCTACATGTCCTTCCAGCGTTATCTAACAGTTTTATTGAAGCTCCCTCAGCTATTGTCTAACATGCAGTCCCCAAATAAATTGCACTGTTTTAGGTTTTTGTTGTGGCAGCAATCTATCTCTAGGTACCCATTTTTATGTATTTGCGTGCCAAACCACCCCAAAGCTTAAGTGTCTGAAAACATTTATTTTTGCATCTATACCATGCCTTTGATGTGTTGATTGTACTTATATGGGAAGTTCTGCTTCACATACAGTCTTCTGGGGCTTTCCTGGGTTAAATTGTCCCCAAGATGACTCATTCATATATCTGGTGCCTCATTGAAAATGACTGGAAAGTTTATCTCAATTAGGATCCTGAGATGAATGAGCCTTGTAGTCCATGTAGTTTCATAGTCTTTCCCATTCTAGTGGCCTCCATGTGTTTATTTACAGTAGGGCAGCCAGACTTCTTATATGATAGCTTAAGGTTTCAGTCAGAATTATATTTATATTTAACATAAAAGTATATGTAATCCACCCTGTAATATCTTCAGGTTCCACATCTACAGATTCAATTAATTGCAGAATGAAATTATTCTAAAAGAAAATATATCTGCACAGAACATGAACAGATTTTTTCTTGACATTTTCCCTAAGCAATGCAGTATAACAAGTATTTTCATGGTATTTAAATAGTATTGATTATTATATGTAATCTAGAGATGACTTAAAGTATAACATGAGGATAGGTGTAGGCTATATGCAAATACTATACATTATTTTGTAAAAAGGTCTTGAGCATCTCAGAATTCTGATATCATCAGAGTACCATGTTGAGGTAATTTCCTATTATCCCTAATTTTTCTAGAGTTTTGAACATAAAGGGATGCTGTATTTTGTCAAATGCTTTTTCAGCATCTATTGAGATGATCATATGGTTCTTACCTTTAAGTCTATTGATGTGGTGAATTACATTTGTTGATTTCCGTATATTGAACCAGCCTTGCATCCCAGGGATGAATCCCACTTGGTCATGGTGCATGATCTTTTTGATATGTTTTTGTATCTGATTTGCCAGAATTTTATTGAGGATTTTTGCATCTATATTCATTAGGGATATTGGTCTATAGTTTTCTTTATTTGAAGTGTCTCTATCTGGTTTTGGAATCAGGGTGATGTTGGCCTTATAGAATGAATTTGGAAGTACTCTCTCTTTTTCTATCTCCTAAAATAGATTGAAGAGTATTGGTATTAGTTCTTCTTTAAAGTTCTTGTAAAACTCTGCTGTATATCCGTCTGGTCCTGGGCTTTTCTTGGTTGGTAGTCTTTTGATGGCTT